GTTTTTTTTTTATTTTTTAATGAAAAAATTAAAAAGTCAAACTTTAACAGAAGAAAAATTTAAGAAATGACAGGTTCTGCGCCAAATTTTTGCATTTGTGCTAAAGCCAAATCAAATCAAGTTACTATTGAAGAAAATCGATGGATGAATACGAAATGAGTGGTCAAATGAAAATACGCAAAGATTTTTTGTATGAAAAATTAGTAGGAAAGAAAGTTACTCATACGTCACGTACACTAGAGTAACACTCTTTTCTGCTGAACTGACAAACGAATTTCAATAAATATTTTGGGCTGCAATAACACATCTTCTTTATATATAAAAATGAATTGTTGTTCGTGTGTTATCGCATCTCTCAAGAACGGCTCAACGGATTTGCTTCGTTTTTCCTTAATTTTGTGTCTTTCTATCTGTAGAAGGTTTGTAAAGAGAAAACTGGTAAAATGGTGTTGCCAGATATTTGCAATATCAGAAAAAAAAAATATTACAAATAAGCCGCAATAATGCCATTTCACTGAGAAAGCATAACAAAATTAATTCGGAAAAAATTTGGATAGGGTTACCACGATTCGAAAAAAAAGTTTATATATAAAAATGGATTGCTTTTATGTGTTATCGCAATCACCCAAGAACGGCTCAACGGATTTGCTTCGTTTTTATTTCATTTTGTGTCTTTCTGTCTGTAGAAGATTTGTAAGGAGGAAATTGGAAAAATGATGTTGCCAGATATCTGCAATATCAGAAAAAAATAATTAATTATAAATGAGCCGCAATAATGCTATTTCACTGAGAATGTATAAAAAAAATTAATTTAGAAAAAAAATTCGGTAAGTTGCTACCATTCGAAAAAAAATTATATGTTAAAATGGATTGTTTTCGTGTGTTATCGCATAACTTAAGAACGGCTCAAGGGATTTGCTTCGCTTTTATTTCATTTTGTGTATTTCTCTCTGTAAAATGAAAACCGGTGTTGCCACATATTTCAAATATCAAAAAAAAAATAATAATTTAATTTACATAAACCGCAATAATGTACATTACTGAGAATGCATTAACAAATTTAATAAAAAAAATAAATTGAAGAGGACAAAAATCTTTACATACAAAAATAAATTGCTGTTCGTTTGTTATCGCATAACTCAAGAACGGCTCAACGGATTTGTTTCGTTTTTATTTCATTTTGTTTCTCTTTGTCTGTAGAAGGTATGTAAAGAAAAAATTTAAAATTCGGTGTTTCCATATATCTGAATTATCAAAAAAAATTAATTTTAATAAGTAGTAATGCTATTCCACTGCAAATGTATGAAAACACTTAAATCAGAAAAAAATTTGCATAGGGTTCCCACCATTCGAATAAAATCTTATGTCAGGGTGTTTGTGGTCAACTCCTCCGAAACGGCTTGACCGATTTGTATGAAATGTTTTGTGTATATTTGGAAATATATGAGTATGCGATTGATATACTCATGGAAAAAATGGATGTTATTGGAAAACCGAATTTTTCATGCCGCATATCTCTGAAAGCGTTTATGGTAGGGTACTGGAACTTGGTATGGAGACATATAAAATCAGTTAAGAAAATGAGCGCGGGGAAAGGGTCGTAAAGTGAATCTCATGGCGCTAAGTGAAGAAGGCGTGGCACCTACTATAAAACCCACATTTTTCATACATATCTCTGGAAGTGTTAATGGTAGAGTACTGGATCTTGCTAGGGATATATATAAAATCAATCGCGGAGAAAAACTGGAGTTATTGGAAAAGGGGGCGTGGCACCTCCCATACGAAATCAAACGCATACTTATGAAAAAATTGATGTTATTGGAAAACAGGCGTGGCACCTCTCATATAAATCGAGTTTTTCATACTGCATATGGGGTTGTTCGAGTCGCAATCACAACCGAAGTGTTGTGCGCATTATTAAAGTATCACGTTCGGTGTGAAATTCCAACGTTTTATCAGTTGGGAACTTGCAACAGTTTTGCAAACTTTCATCAGCGGTGAAGTATTGCCGCTGTTATTACGTACCTCGAACGTGCCCTATTTCTGGATGTGTTCATTGTAGTCAAGTACGGTGGGGTGCAATAAGGTCATACGCAATAAAGCCATATGGCTTTATTTCCAATCAGAAAGAGAAATAAAGCCATACAAAAAATTTTGCAAATGAGAAATAAAGCTATATTCTGAAATCACACTCTCAAGGCGAATTAATAAGGCGGTGTTACCGGCGAATCTGAATTTTTTGCCGTAGAGAACATTACGTCCAAATGATGTGTTTGTTGTAATTCATTATTAAATTCCCCTTGGACACCCTCTTGAAATTGATACTGAATTATTTAAATTGATACAAATTATTATTAATAAAATGAAATAAATAATTATTTAATATTTCCGTATTTATTGGATATTGGAAAATAAATATATGTACTTAGGTAAGTTTTAATTTTGCGAGTGCATAACCTGGTGGGTGCACATTTGCTGGCTCCCCGCACCGCGCCGCGCCCGGTCGAAGGAGAGTAATTGCATGTTTAAGGTGACGTTGCAGTTCAAGGCGGTTTAGTAGTTTTGTTGCGAACTTTTTCCATTGTTTAAATAAAAGAAATATAAAAATTTTAAAGCGAAATAAAGCCATATGGCTTAATTACCAATTGTAGTTGGAAATAAAGCCATATCGAATTTATGGCCTTATTACCAAAAAAATATGCCTTTATTTCCAATATGGTTTTATTGCGTATGGCCTTATCGCACCCCACCGTCAAGTACTCTACTCTACTCAAATAAACCGAATTTTCCATATTGCACATTCCTGGAAGTGTTCATGGTTGAGTATTCGAACATATAGTAGTATAGAGATATACGAAATCAATCGCATACTCTTAGATAAAATTGGGGATATTTAAGAAGGGGGCGCGGCGTCTTCCCAAAGGTACTGAACATATAATACTTAGATCGTGTTTGTGAGTGAATCGATTTTAACGAAATTTTTTTTTTATGAGTAAGGTCTCTTCGTAGTTGTTCAGATTCCCAGTTTGACCTACCAGGTGGCGCTGGAGTCGTGTTATTGTTAAAGTCTTGGTTATGATCCGATCTGGCTTATATTCGAGATACTTATGTAATGGTAACGGTAAGGGCAATACTATTGCAAAAAAACAGCCGCCGGGTGACGCTGGGGTCGAGTTGTTACTGAAAAGCGTCAAGTGAGAAAAATTGCCGTGAATGTCCGATTACATCGACGGGCTGTATCACCGAGTATGCCGAGCTCCCGCGTGTTGCGATTGGCCCAATGAACGTGATTTGCGTGCTTCATACGGATACACCAGAATTGAGTTGTCCAGGGGTCAATCTCAAATGACCAGCATTATGTTTACCATCAGAACCGTTGCGCTCCTTGATAAGAGCTTTAAGGTATTTCGACTGAAATAAGTGTGTGTTGAACAACGATACTCACCAATTTTTAAATTGCCACCAACTAATCCATCTACTTTTTAGTACAGATGGGAATGATGAATGGGAAAAAGTTCTTCAAATTTATTTCATTTTGCGACTAACCGTTCTGTAAAACGCCAAATCATTGGAGAATTTCAAGAACTTCTTCACGAACATACACTTTCGTTAGGTTAATAAAGACGACAATAGAAATATGCCTTCGGACAACCACCAAACCGTAATATATATTAGCAGATAAATGTATCACTGTAAATCGTGAACGTGAATTGTTGGTGAAAATGGTTCTACCAAAATATTTCAATAAAAAAATAATTTTGGGCGGGACGAAGTTCGCCGGGTCTGCTAGTATTTGATATAAACCTTAAGCAAATACTTCAAAGATGGATGATTTTTATACTAGCTACTATCTCTAGCTATACTATATGATTTTATTACTAGCTTTTACTCGCGGGTTTTACTCTACGCCAGAAGGAATTAAAGAGGTCATGTGACTTGTGGTTCCGAGGTTATGGCTGATAAAAAATTCCGAGCCTATGTTAAGTGCTACGCCTCCTTTTACAAATTAATTTATTTATACCTTACTATAAGCACCTACCATAGATACATATGTCTGCATACTAAATGTCATGTTTATGTGACTTATGGTGCCCAAGTTAGCGCTGATAAAAAATTTCACGCCTATAGGATGTGTCACGCCCCCTTTTACAAACTCATTTACATATACATTAAGATAAGCATTTACCATAGATATGTTTGCATACAACTATGGGAGGTGCCGCGCCCCCTTTTCCTATACCGCCAGTTTTTCCCAAGAGTATGGAATTAATTTTATTTATCTCGACAGCAAGTTCCAATGCTCTACCACAAATATTTCAAGAGATATGCAGCATGAAAGTTTTAGTTAGTATAGGAGGTGCCACGCCCTCTTTTCGAGTACTACCCATTTTTCTCTATGTCTATAACCTTCCCAGGGTAAAGGCAATAGCGTGCAAAGTTTTGTGCGATTCCGTGCCGCGGTTCAGAAGTTATAAGGTAATAAGCAAACAGACATTCACATTTATATATATAGATAAGCAACTTTAAAAGAACTCCTCCAAAAGGGAAGTACATACGTCCTATAAAAGCCCTTCTGGAAGCCCTTCCATGGGTAGCGAAAGAAGAAGCCCTTCAATTTATGCCACTCAATAAGAAAAGGAATATACACAATTATTGCCGTTATAACATTTTCAATATCTCAATTCTATCGACTAGGTGTATGGTGTCAAGTTAGTACTACATACCATATTTTTCTTTCCCCAACAAAAAAGCTACAATTAATGCCATATTTAACCTTCCAATTTCGAAACGTGTAGTGCTAACTTGACAGGCGTTTTACTCTTATAATTTATGTTGTGGAAAAAGCTATGATGTTTCACTGGAGGTACTATTGAGAAGCAATGTGAAAGATTGAAGAAATACGTTAGTTTTGAGTTTAATCTCAGGTAACCTAAATGTTTGTTGGGTAATAATAGTTTTTATTATAAGTATATTATTAAATATTTACAATATGTACTTACATTTCTTGATATTTTCCAGTAGTTTAATTATTCGTTTAGTTTTATCCGTTTTACAGCTTGGAATCGTGGGTAAATACTGCGAATACAATTCCAGCGTCGAAGATTAGTTGTTTAAAGGAAATGGGCGCAAATAGTAAAACAAATCGTAGAGTAAGAAACCGGTTGCAGTTTGTTTATAAAAAAAATATTTTGAAACAGAATGATAAAAGAAAGGTAGACACAAAGATGACGCGGCGTATGTTTTTTATTAGCTTTTGTATATTTTTGCTGGACTTCCTGCGCTACAACACTATAACCATGAAAATATGGGAAACTGGAAATTTTTACAAGAAAATCTAATGAAATGCTGGCCCTCAGAAGTACGTAAATCTGAGAGGTTTACCATGTATTTCAGACGCAAGGTAGAAACGATTCTGCAACTTGCAATTTGCACTTTTCAAACCTACTATTTATGTGGCATGTACATACATATATGTAGATAATGAAAACTTTGATTCTACACCTTACACAAATGAACTCATAAGAAATGCACGCGAAAAACTAACGAACAAAGCCAGCTGCGGTTGATGGAGACCTGCTATTATATTGTGGGAAAGCTGAGTACATATGTGCACATTGGCATCGAACCATCACAGCTTACCGATTGCAAACAACTTTGTATGGCCCGAAAGAAGGCAATGACAGTATATACTGTCGATTGTCCACGTACTCTCAATTGCCTCCCGCCGTCTGTCCAATTCTGTGCTCTATGCGCAGGAGTATCATACATTTACATATGTATGTAAGCTCGAGTCCAATTGCTCACACGCGCTGTAGTGAATTGTTTTTATTCTTTTTTTGTTTTATAATGCCAAAAATAAATTTGGGAAACTAGTTTTATTTGATATCCAATCGATTTTGTACATATGTATAGGCACACATGGATGTATAAAAGAAAAAAAAATATAATATTTGTTGTAATTTTCACCAGATTATTAATAGACTTTTTATGTTTTGCATTCACTTGATTTTATTTGGATTTTCCCCGTTACCACCACATTTTCGGTCAATTTTTCATTTATTTTTTACTTTTATCACACTTATTTCCGTACATATATTTCAATGCAATCACTGGCTTTGTTTCGTAACTATTTACATCCGATTTAACTGCACACCATTTTATAAAACTTTTATTCAGCTCTGTTTCGGATTGTTATGAGTATTTCATTGATTGTTAACCGATTTAAGGCGTTTCTACTCCCAGGTTATTTTTATTTCTGAAATTAGGATCATTTGTTTTGCGCTCACCAAAACCCGTCAACTATGCCGTTTTGCAAGAAATGGATGCAATGACAGGTAGGGACGGCCCAAAAATGCAATACCGATAACTTCCCCCAATAGTGCAGTAATAGATTTTATTTGATCAGTAGCGTTGCCACCTACCATAAAATAGAAGGAGTATATACTACGTTTATACGCACATATTATTTGCATATAACAATTTGCGATATGGGAAACTTTGCTGTATAAACGCTGAGTTAATTTTTTATTCGCAAATAACTAAATCACGCAAATAAGTATTGATTAGTGGTACTATATGCAAATAAGCGCAAGACGCCGCCATTCTTATACTATGTTCTGACCGACAACGAACATCTTAGAAAACGTGTTTTGGGATTGTGGGCTGAAGGCTGTTCACACCGGCTGTTGGTGTTTTCGTTGACATTTCTTACATCCTCTGAGTACAGTTTTTCTAAACAAAAACAAAACCAAAATGCTTTTCCCTCATTTTCTTCGCATTAGCAACCTTTTACTTTCATCCTTTGTTTACTTTTACCAGCCAATTAACAATAAATCCGAAATGGCGTATTAAGGATGATAAAATATGACTTCCACTTCGATATATAATCGAAAAAAACTAGTGAAGACACCGATTGGAATGAGGGGAACGTGAGTTTTCAATTAGTGTTCAGCGAAAACTGGTTTTCGTTTGACAGATTTTACATGGACGAAAACACAAGTTTTACGTCGAGAACCAGTTTTAGCAACGAAAACATGTTTTCGATGTCGGTCAGAACATGGTATTAGGTTGCAAACAGAATGGAAGCGCAGCCGAAGACGAAGATGAAGACGAAGCCGAAGACGAAAAACAGTGCAGTAGTAGACATATGAAAGTGATCACAGTGCAAGCAAAGACGAAGACGAAGATGAAGACGTTCCCACGACAGTCGGGTCTACGTAACCGGAACGACCCAGATTTATATTTTTATTGTTTTTGTAGCAGCAGTACTCAACCCCCCGGGGTTTCCTTCGGCTTCGCTTCCACTCTGTTTGCAACCTTAGGTTCATTTTCTTTTTCGATGGTCATCTTACTGCCTTTTTGTAACCCCACGTCTCCTTTTTCTACCAAATATGTCTTAACATCTGTGAAATATCTGTTTTGACATTGTCCTGTTTTCTCATGCGGGCAACTTGCTGTCTTAACATACCACTTTCAAAATGGCATTAAGCCAATCAGATCGGTCTGTACCCAATGTAGATGGCGCGATAAAATGAAAACTGAGTTGTCAAACTACGAAATGACAGCTGATATTAAGACAGCGATGGTAAGAAATTCGGCAAGACAGATATGGTTTAAGAGTGGAAATTTGCGGTCTCCAACTACATTTCTGTCATACCACAGCTTTTTTAACAGAATCTGTAGAAGGTGGTGACGTGGGGTAATCAAGATGTTGCCAGTTCTAACTTTACTTTCTTTTTCGATGGTCATATTATTAATCAGGCAATATTAAAAAAAAGATTTTTTCACCCTCGAATAAACAGTGAGTTAGGTATTTGCAAATTATTTTTATTTGCAAATAGCTTACGTATAAACGTAGTAATATTAGGTTCATCGTAGTTCCATAAGTAACCATTCTTCTTACTATTTTTTTCTGGCAGGCTGTAGGTGTGTTTTTGGTTAGTGGATTTTTGGTTTTGGCACATTGTGTTGGTGTATTTTGAATAAATTGTAATAGAAATAAAATAAATTGTAATAGAAATTAAAGAAATTGTAAAAGATAAGAGGACATGCCAAAAACAGATGATTTCAGCTGTAGGCATTTTTTGACAATCAGCTGATAGTGTTTTTATTTATGAAACTGTAAGATAGTTAAGTTTACCACATGAGCCAGTTAGAACAGAGCAAGGGGGCACTACCTCAAACAACCGTTGCCTTACATTGTAACATTTGCATATATGTAGGTTACTTTTCGTCCTGAAAAATGGCTATTGGGAGCGTACGTTCCGCTCAAGTATAAAACTGACAGTTGAGTGGACTGTGTGTGTTTGCATAGAGAGTGTCAAGGCCGGTCCACATAGAACTTTCGCGTTGGCTTTGGCATTGGCCCTGGTTTGACAGAACGCACGTTAAATGTATGCTTGCTACAATGAACGCTTGGCAGCGAATGCTTGGGTCACTAAATTAACATAATAACGATAGATAAAAAAATATTTCATATCAATAATTGCATTAGAAACGATATTTCTTGCTCGCACTTCGTTAAAGAGGAAAAATATTTCACATAATTGTATTTATTTGCAACAGCTGACGAGCGACGCACGCGAAAAGTTCAGAGTTGGCGATCTTTTTGCTTTGTGTTGGCGTGAGCGTTGTCGAATTTTGGCTATGTGGACAGCTGCATTTGAATTCATGTATTCATACTCAGCTGTTGAAGCGACGCCAACGCAACGCCAAAGTTCTATGTGGACGGGCCTTCAGATTGGCAACCCTTGCGTCGACGGACCCAACGAATGTTGACCAACAGTCAAAAACAAGACCAATGAGAATATGTAGATAATTTACACATTGTTTGAGAAAAGTAGGCATCCAGTCAATAAACTATCTTCGAAAGGCCAGAAACAGTGATGCAGACATCAAGAGAAGTGGAAATATATTAGGAAAAAAATGTGAATGTTTTGCTATTGTCTCTGAAAATTGACTTATGTAAACCTCAAGTACGCGGCCCATTAACCAACTTTTTTTTGGTTCATGTACGCGGCCATAAGGAACAGCTGATTATTTTTGCAGACGCAACACCTTCATTGTGGCGTATCTCTACGGTACGAACGCCACTTCCATCGCATACTTTTTGAAAGGGCTGAAGAAAACAGGGAAACATTATTGCGAAATAGAAAACGCCATTAAACTGGCTACACACGACGAACATGTCATGATCATGAAATTAACAGTGGTTACATACGACGAACATGTACGCCAACATGCTCGCTGTCGTTTGCCACAGACGGTGAGCGGCTCATATGTGATTTTGTCGTGATAGCATAAAGATGGAGAGCGAGGACGCGGATGATGAAATTCAAATGCTTATGACTTGGGTTTTTTTATGTATGCGCTACTTAAATTTATTTATATTTTACTTCTATGTATGCACTGTGCATATACATATAGTAATTTAGCCTCATTTATCAAAAATTCAGTAACGTACATGGCTTGGCTGCACTTATCCGCCGATGTGCACACTGCAAGCATTAACACAAAATGCGGTTGTTGTTTTTGTTTCCAATGAGTTGCTCGCAAACCACCCTACAAACGACGAACATACTCGCATGCCCGTGAACCGCCCCATAAACGACGAACACGCACCGCGAGCCGAGCATGTGCGAGTACATGTTCGTCGTGTGTAGCCACTGTTAATTTCATGATCCAACTACACAAGATCTGACAAGATGAAGCAAAAGAAAAAAAGTAATTTTCCGGATGATGTTTGTAATTTCGTCGCCATGCTATTTTCTTTGAAATGAACCAAAAGTAAACAAAGAATATTGTGGCGAATACTGCGGCAACACAAAGCGAACAACGAGAAATAGGCAGAATGTTCGAGGAATGACGTAGAATGTTCCACAAAGAGAAACGTCAAGTTGGATGAACACTGCGAACAGCGAGAAAAAGAGAATGAGCGATAAACTTCAGAACGTTCTAGAGTTGCCATAAGTGTGAGCGCAGGTATATAAGAGCCACGACACAGCGGAGTGGAGTGAGTTGCAAGTCAGCAAGCTACAAGTAAAGTGAGCAGAGAAGCGAATTGCGAATAAGCAAGCTATAAGTTTAATTGTGTGTAACAAGTTCAGTAAAGCGTTGTAATTGCCTTAACAAGTATTGTAGTATTTTTACTGTATTAGCAAGTATTGTAAAATTGTTTGTTGTACAATAAAGTTAATTGTACTACAATTCGGTCATCGTTAGCATTTATTTAACAATCCAGCGATTCGAGCCCGAGTGTATTTGGGAAATCCCTCAAGGTTTCGAGGATAATCGTAACAATATGAAGACGAAGCATAAAGAAAATAATGCAAGCAATTTGTAAAACATGTTTGTGCTAACCAATTTATTATTTTTGTACACGTTTTGCAACCAATCACGGCGCACTCCATTCTAATTACATTTGCGTAAAAAGTTTAATGAAAATCGCTTAGAAATCACTGAAATAAACCACCGACAAAATACACATAAAGGAAGAAGCAAAACAAACAATTTTTTTTTTAGTTAAAAAATGCCACTCAGCATTTAAAGAAAATGGCAGAAATTAATAAATAAAATCCTTACGATGCCAGGTTATACTTATAATTTTACAAAACGTCTGTGGAAAGCAACTCAAAGTTGTGTGTAGTTTAATCATATTTCTGCAACAAATGACAGAGATGTGGTGATGCCATCCAGCCAAAATGAACTCCATACGCCAAGAGAGTGCAAGTGAGTGAATTATAAAATTAAAAATGATACACACATACTGTAGCGAATACTGCGGCAACGCGAAGCGAACAACGAGAAATAGGCAGAATGTTCGAGGAATGAAGTAGAATGTTCCACAAAGAGAAACGTCAAGTTGGATGAACACTGCAAACAGCGGGAGAAAGAGAATGAGCGATGAACTTCAGAACATTCTAGAGTAGCCATGAGTGCGAGCGCAGGTATATAAGAGCCACCACACAGCGGAGTGAGTTAGTTACAAGTCAGCAAGCTACAAGTAAAATGAGTTGCGAATAAGCAAGCTATAAGTTTAATTGTGTTAACAAGTTTTGTAAAGCCTTGTAATTGCTTTAACAAGTATTGTAAAGTGTTTTCACGATATTAGCGAGTATTGTAAAGTGTTTGTTGTACAATAAAGTTAATTGTACTACAATTTGGTCATCGTGAGCATTTATTTAAATCCAGCGAAACGAGCCGTAGGATATTTGGGAAATCCCTCAAGGTTTCGAGGATAATCGTAACAATTGGTGTCAGAAGTGGGATTATTAAATAAATACCGAACGATAAACTTTTGAAAATGGTAAAAATTCAAGACCTAACCAT